AAGAAATGCTACTCAAAACGCAATGATCACTTTGTGAGCCAAATGGCTTAGAAATACACCGGAAATAGTACTCCGGAAGTATATGCAGTAAAGAGCTTGCATCGCACCCTAGTGTGGATAACACCATCCTTGCTCCTCCACATATTTTTAAAGTAAGAATACAGTCGGACTACTATTTAACAAAGGAGCTAAATCCTGATAAAAAGTTTCGTTACGTGGAAAATTCGTTAAATAGAAAATCGCCATTTGAAATACTTTTACAACACAAAACAGGTTTTAAATTCATAAACACTAGACATAATTAAAATAACAATTGATAAATCAATTTTATCTTGTAAATTATAATCTACTATTGAATTGTTTCAAATGATTTTAACATTTCGTAATATCAAGGTTTGGTGATTTCTTCATCTCCGTCTTTCTCACAATTTATTTCTGTATTGTTTTTATATTTCACACTGACCAAAATATCCGATTCAGTTAATGTTTCTGTATTTGCAGCTTCAGATTCAAGAAAAAGAAAATCATTTATCAGTACATCAGCATTAATTTCGTAGTTCTCTCTTAGTTGTACTCACAATTTTTAGGTTCTTCTAAAGCAGGGTTTCTTAACCTGTGGTTCATGAACTCCTAAGGGGTCCATGAGTCATATTTTGGGGGTCCGCTAACTACTTCCAATTTTTAAAATGTTTGGAAGCCTACCCATTGCTTGTAAAGCGATCTATGGCAGCTATAATTCCGTTTGCTAGGTGTATCTTTGCGAAGCGGGATTTTCAACATTCGTGACAATAAAACAAAACATCGAAATCGATTGAATGTTGAACATAATATGCGCGTTGCTTTGTCGAAAACTATCCCACAATTCAATTTGTTAATTAAGGAAAAGCAGCAGCAACCTTCACATTAAAAATTTTAATTATAAAAATTTTGTATACTATTAAAATAATAAAATTAAATGTTTTCTAATAATGGATGGTTTTTGCAATTGTTTTTTTCACAGGGGGGTGGTCCGTGACTTCTTAAAATTTTTTAAAAGGGTTAAGAAACACTGTTCTAAAGGAATATCATCCTCGTTCTCCGCTCCAAATTCTCCTCTCTGACTAAGAATCCAGCTTTAGCAAAACTGTTACGAATAGTATGATTTGTAACTTCATAGTTCCATGCTTTAGAAATTTCTGTTAAGCTTTCTCGTAAGATGATTTTTGGCATGGATTCCTGTATGAAATGCAAACAAAAAGGGAAAAAGGATTTTATTGCTTTCTCTATAAGTTAAGTTGCGGCGAAAATTAATTCCAGGTCATTTTCCCCAATCCTCATTTATCAATGGAAGCTCGTTAAATAGAAGTTCGACTGTATTTGTGTTTTGCTTAAGGAAAAATGGTTAATTTTTAACTATGTAGAAGACTTATTTAATAATTCTAATTATATGCCTTAATACTTCATATACAAAATTATGTTCTTGTTGTTTTCCCAAAAAAAGTTTTTCTTTCTTTTTTTGGAGAGGGAGGAAGATTGATTATTAAGCTGCATATTTTAAGTGGCGATATAAGTGACCATAAGCGTGAAAAATAGTAAAATACAATTAGTGGTATCTTGAAAATCGAGGGGTGATAGATGAAGCAACACTGTAGCGAAAATTATGATGCCAAGAAAAGAGCAATAGTGTTTAAATTTTGGGTAACTTGTGCTCTCACTCTACCCCGTTCTTCACCAACAACGGCTACACGCGTATAGCATTAAATCAGCAATTCAGTTACATTTAGAGATCAGTGAAAAAGTCTCTTTGCTCTAACTCTGAAAAGGAGGTTTTCCCTTACTCATAAATACACAAAGCAGAGCTCGTTACGAATTAGAACTGGTTGAATCTCTTTCCTTGCTTCGGAGATCGCCTTACTTATTATAAGGCCTGTTATGAGGCAAACAAACATTCAAAACAAAACAGTTAAGAGACTCAAGCCTAATTTACCGTTGTGCATTACGTGAATCTCTAAACTGTTGATTCACGAACTTCAGCTTATCAAAATTTTCTCTTGAGTTTTGCTAACCTAGAATTTTAATTTCATAACTTGCGCATTTATTTCTACCTTACTAGCAACCCTCCTTTTTTTCTGACTGGGTTCACTTTTAGGCGCGTACGATGTTTTTTACTCAGATTTCTAAAAAACGAAACGTAACTTTGTAATATCTTCGAGAACACGGGTCTCAAAGAATAATGAAGTAATGGCAGGTTTTAGCGAGAATTACTCAATTGCCATGGCGAAAACAAAAGTGTAAAATTGATAGTTAAAAAGAAAAAAAAAAAGAATCGCAAACGTAAACGGTCTAAAAATGACCTTCTCTCTCCCTCTCTTTCTTTCTTTTAGAAACTTTTAAGACGTAATAATACTAATTTTTGATCGACTTCAGACAATATGCCATCTTCGAGTGAACTATTTTGTTAGAAATTTCGATATTTAACTGAAGAATTAAACCAATGAGAATTTATTCTCCCTTATTTATAAAATTTATTTACAACATAATAGATTTAATATTTTTAATTTTCTAATCCCGCAATTAAGTAAAAAACTTTGTAACACATTTTATTCAATCGTGAATCCATGTGGTGTTTCATTTTTTTTCTGAATTTATTTTCTCATGTTTTTAAAACCTCGATATTTTTGCGATTCGTGGAATTCGAATTGAGTAATCTTTTTTTAACACGCTCGATTTGTGCTGATAGTATTAGTACTTCGATCGGTTTTTTTTTCAGGAGTTCTTCATAAGGTTCTTTAAAAGCCCTTTATTTTTCATCAAGTATTATTACGACTTGCGGAATTCAAAATGCACTTTTGATTATTCACTTTTTGTCTTTACGTGACGATAACCATAATTTTTTCGGTAGAATTTTTCGCAGTTTTTGATTTCTATGTGGAGTCTAAAATATTTTTCATATATTATTACGGCGCGTAATTTTCGGTTTGCGCATAAAAGTAACAAATTTTAGACTCGCTCGATTTACACTATACACATACAGTGATTCGATCGTTTTTTCGGCACATATTACTGTTGATTTTCACATGTTTTTTTTAAAATTCTGCTGTAACCCCTTCGATATTGTTACGATACGGGAAATTCGAATCACTCTTTTGAGTATTCACTATTCTATCGATTTTTTTAACCTATTTTTCGGTTCTTATTACTATTTATTTTCGATGGGTTGTTTAAATCCTCATACTTATAATACGGTATTATTTATTTACGCTCTAATCCCGAAGCGTACATTTAAGTAACTTTTTTTTTCTCGTCATTTCCTAATTGCGTTAATTCGTCATAAATCTAAATGGTTTATCATAATTTTTTTTTTTTAAACAATTATTAAGAAATTATTTTAACTGATTTCATGGTTTTTAGAATTCCGTTTTTTTTTAATGCAACTATTTAAATTGGGTGAAAGATTTTACTCTTTTTATCAGTTGGGGTGTTTTGACAGGTGTGAATTCCTTTCATTTCCTTTGTAATAGTTATATTTCATAGAATTTTTTAATACAAATTTAACTCTGTTTTTTTTTTTTTTTTTTTTTTTTAAATGGAAATTTTTTGTTATTTTTTAAAAAAAGCAACATGCAATAGTTATAATTAGAATGTTTGTTTATGTTTCTTTTAATTTTTTCTTTGCGCTTTTATTAATTTTTTGCTTATATTTAGTTTATTTTTTAAGCATGATTAAAAAAAGCATGAAATTCATTTTAGTTAAGTCGAATTTTCGAGGGATCTTTAAATACTCTTTCTCATATTTACGCACAGTATACTGATTGCTGTAAAAATAGTTCAAAAATATTAAGAAGAAATAAGAAATAATGTAGGAGAAAATGTCAGATTCCATTATTTACCTATTGTTTGTCTGGTAATAAAATCATTCAATGCCGGTACCGGATAAAATATTACTTGAGAAATAAGTAGTATTAAGTATTCGCTTGATAATATAAATATTCGTTTGATAATATAAAACCAAATCGATATGTCATGGATAAAATATTTGGTATTTTGAGCTAAAAAGTGCTTTTTAGTGTCGTTAAAGTCTATAGTTCGGTATTTCACAATATTTTTTAATATTTTATGCATTTGTTTTAATAAATATATAAAGACAAATTAATATCACAACTTTAATTCTTTTTTAAAGACAAATAATTTATATTGTCTTTTCCTAAAATATTTGAATTTTGACTTTTTTTATAAGCCTGACTATGTAATCATTTTGTCCATGAGGGATAAACAACCATGAAGCTATACTAATTTTTTATAAAAAAAAAAGAAGCTATTTTTATATTTTTTTTCATTGCTGTTTTTTCATTGCTTATATGAATATTTTAGCCGGGACAATATTTTTCTATGTCCCTTAAACTGTCCTAAATCTATGCATATTTTTATACCAATACACTAATAGTCACAATCAATATAAAAATCCTAATCAAATGATATGTTGGGCTACATATGTGGTATAAGCATACATTTTAAATAATTGAAGAGCTTAGTGATACTCAGGAAAAGTACAAAATTTTGATCTAAAAATTTGTTTTGTTCAACTGTCAAAATTTTTTCATAATTTTTCCTGCCATGTCATCAAATAAGACGGTATTAATTGAGAAAATGATTTTCATAATCTGCTTCCTATTGTTGCTAAAGCTGTTTCTGAATGCACATAACACTCACTTAGATTCATCTTACATTAAGTTCTTCAATCATGTAATAATAATGTATTAAAAATCATACCCAATATGATTATTATTTTTTAAGAATAGAATATTGTACATTTTACACATCATTTATTGTACATTTACATCCGATGGATAAATTATTTTAATTGGCGAAACTAATTTTTTCAATTAATGAGTGTGTGTCTATACCTTTTGCGATCCAAGTGCTTCTATAAACCTTTCAGATTTTAGTACAAGATTATTTTGAGTTGTACTAAACCTATGTTTAAAATCCTTACTAGTTTTTACATATTCTCTTATTTGTAGGATTTAGAAGAAGCTCTTGTGGAAGAAGAGAGTGTTGCACTTGCTGACATCTTCGCTAGGCTCTTGCGGTATATTACCGGAAACGTTGATATTCTGTAAGTTTAACTTATTCTTAGTTATTTTCAATTTGATTTTTAGTTTATTTTTAATTTGTTATAGGGGTTAATTCCAATTATTTTTCATAACTTTATATAAATTGAACACTAATTTTCCAAATGTGATTAATTTTTAAATTAAAGTTAGCTATTTGTTTGCAAGATTTTCTCTAGCTTTTGAGAGCGAAGCACTTCAATTTTGGATTATTCGCCTTCTCCATACAATAATTTCGTTATAAAAACTTTTATTTTGTTTCGACATGCCATTTATTCCTCCTGCTTGGCCTAGCTGCTTTTCCATATGTATATAAATAATAGAATAATGAAATTTAAAAAAATGATTTTCATGGGTTTTTCTGTGAGAATCTTCTTTCTGTTTACATATAAATCTTCAATAAAATTCATTTTCTTATCTAAAGTGTGTGTAGAATTGCTGCTTTGTGCATGTATATATATGTGTGTGTGTGTGTATATATATATATATATATATATATATGTATGTATATGTGTGTATATATATATTTTTGTATATACAGTACAGAACCCGTTATCCGGAAATCAGAAAACCGGAAAACCAAAAAACCGGAACGAAATTCGATAAATTTTCTCGCCATTTTTTAAAAAAAAATTTTTTTCCTCATAAGATTTTACGATTTTTCTTTCTTTTTTTAAAGATGTTTACCTTACCATCATTTTGGAAATAATCATTAGTGTATTACTTCATCGTTTTTTCTTATTTTTAAAATTATTTCCAAATATTTTTTTTTTTAGTTGGGTCTAACAATAAAAAAAACGGCTTTTTGTAGCGATTCAGAAAACCGGAAAAATCAGTTATCCGGAATAGCGATGGTCCCGACCGTTCCGGATAATCGGTTCCCTACTGTATTATATATTTATGTGTGTATATATTATATATTTTTACGGCTATACTCGTGTGCGCTGATGAAAAGATTATAAGCTCTTCGTTTTTTTCTCCAGTTTTTTTAAAAAAATTTCATCCTTTTTTTCTTTTTTTCCTTCTTTTTTTTAAAAATCCGTTTGTTATTTTTTTAATATTATTCCCCCCCCTTTTCATATGTCTATAATTTTCCTTTGTTTTATCTTCATTTTGAACTTATATATATACATACACACACAGTTTAAAAGGTTATTTTGTGTTTAAGTAATTTATACTTGGCTATAAAAAAGTATTTTTTAAAAAAAAATTTTTAATGCCCGTAAGTATAATAATTTGGTAGAATTTGATTATTTTTAAACCGATAGATCATTAGTCGTTTTTAATTGTAAAAAAAATAATACGAAACCTACATTTATTTAATTTGTAATTATTTTATAAATTAAAACAAAGTTTGCATAATGTTTTTTTTTAATTTAAAGAAATTGGCTATTAGTTAAAACGACTAAATTTTTTCAATTAAATAAAAAGCTAAACAATGTTTTGACACTTTTATAATAGTACTTGTGGTATATTTTTTTTAACATTAAAATTCTCTTAATGGATGTTCGTTTGATTATTTGTTAGATGTTCAGTATCATTTTTAAACCTATAAATCTTTTGTCTATTTTATTTTTAAAAAATGAAATAATAATAAATAAATAAGAAATTTTTATTTTTACATTTATTAGTTATAGAATTTGACCGTCAGTCTTGAAATTTTATTTTATTGTTTTAAATAAATAAATAAAAGGTCTAACGATGTTTCAAAACCACGTTTTTTCTCAACAAATAATTACAAATATTTTTTACAGAAATGAACACTTCTTAAATTTTTTTTTGCTTTCGTTTTTAATTTTTTTTAATTTTTAATGCACTTGTGTAAAATATTTTATTACAGTTTTAAGATTTATTGGTTTAAAAATAATAATAAGACATTTTTAATTTAAAAGAAATGATAATAAAGATTGTGTTTGTTTTTACTTTAACATCAGTCTTAAGTCAACCATCTTTATTATTGTAATTGAAAATATTAAGCAATGCTGTTGATCTTATCGAAGCATTTTTTTAAAAATTAGCATTTTCTTTTGTAATAGATTTATTTATTTTATTTATTTTTTATTGATTCAAAGATTTCTGATTGATATTTTGTGAACATATGTTGAATCGCGAGACATCGCTATATCGTGATGTCTGGTGTTATATCAAATCTCGATATAAAATTTGTTACATCGACTAGTCCTTCTCAGGACCCTTTAGATAGCATATCGTTTGAATGAACATAATAAAATTTTGTACATGGGTATATGGTCTCCCTCACAAGAATGTTAAAAACAATCGCTTAGATGTCACAATTATAATTAGAGTTATAAAATTTTGAAATTTTTGAATGGCAATACCTATTTTTGTTTTTAAGCGTAATCTCGATAGTGAGAAATTTAAAATGTAGTTGGAATGATATTTTTGAGAAATTCAAATTGCAACGCTAGCCCTTTGCCAAGCTTTACCATCTTTCATGACCACCAACAAAAATAGAGTCTGATGAAAACTTTTTAAAACAAAAGAAATTTAGGACTTGTTGGACATATGAAGGGGAACATGTCAAAAATTTGTAAAACATAGTGATTTCTTTGAAATTTCTTCTACACTTTTATAATAGGTTTTTATCATACTATCTTCTCATTGGTGGTCAGGTATATATATGTGTGTTTGTATTTCTTTATGTGTGTAGGGCTGTTCAAATACAATGCACGGCTGTCATCGGCAACCAATAAAGTTTGAGTGGCGACTTTATTCTTAACTTTTCAAGTACTCTCTGATATTTTTTGTTGTTGCTACTTTAACACTTAACATACTATAACTGATCAAAAGACCGGTTATTTTATGTCGTATTGTATTGTAAAGAGTTGGTATGTTTAGTGTTAATATTTAGATGGAGAAAAATCGGTCCCGGAATTGAGCTAGAAATATTTTTCATTCTTCATTATCACCAATGTTTTCAACAATCATTGGAGACAAAATTCCATTTTTTCCTTATCCTTGCACTTATCCGTATTTCCCAAATCTCTGATTTCGTGTGATGTTATGTTATTGTGTTTTTTAAAAAATCATGTTGAAATGTATAGCAATTACTGCGTAATTGCATTCCGGATCAAACTAATTTGATGAAAACTGTCAAGAAAAAACTTTCATAACCGATTCTAGATTTGTATTAAAAAGTTATAAAAGTAGTTTCGTATTAACATCGGGATTTTAAAGATTAAGTTGAAATCCATGGGTACAACAGTTGAAAAATTGATAAAAAAAAGCAAGTGATTCTGCCATAAAATCAGCGCAAGATATTATAAAAGCTATTTTTCTTATGCGTAATTCAAAGTTTGTCTGCTGTAATGATATCCAATGAAACATATTGATATTTAAAAAAAAAAAAAAAATACATGTAGAAATTTGTGACAATTGTTGAATATATAGACTTATGATGAAATCTGCGCAAAATTAAACTGATCTGATTGAAAATTGATATTTGATGACTCACATGCGCTATTTGAGATTCATGAGTCATAATAGCCTTACATTAAAATTATGCAAATTATCCAAATTTACTTAAAAATCTACGCCTATAAAGCAAGAGAAAAATCATGTGGACTCGCGACGAAATAGACTCAAATCGAACGTGAACATCATTTTTCAAATGGGGATTTGAAAATCATTTGCAGTGGTATTATCCCATCAAAATTATCGGAATTTATAAAACCGTATGGAATTCTATAATAATTGTGGGGAACCCAAAAGGATTTACGTTAAAATCAGTTAATGTAATCACTTCATATTGAAAATTGTCGCTTTAATTTTATTTCTGCAAAATAATTATTAGAGAAAACATTGTTTTTAACTGCTGCAAACGCATTATTTTGATGCAAATCTTGTGATTTAAAAAATTGTCCTTAAAATTTTTCAGGTTTCGCGAACTAGAAGTTTGTTGGCTGAAGTTCAACACAATTAATAAATTTGAATAAGAAATCCGCTATATTGTGTAACCGCAAACTCTTTGGTAGTATAAATGTAAATTTTATAGTAAAAGCATAATACTTTAAAATTCCTCTAAGACCGTTTTTTTTTATTTCTTATATATTTTTATAATTTTAATATTTCTATGATAATTTTTTATAATATTTTGCTATGTTGTAATCAGTATTCAAAGCATATATTTAATTTTTGCGCATAGATGTATTCAATAAAATTCTTGGAGCCTTGTGTATGTGCATATATATGCATACACGCACACATATATATATAAAATACTCATTGCCATGAAAATTTCCGCACCTTGATAGAATTGTCAGTATGAAACAAAATCTTGCATACATCAGAACAACGTTGATATAAGTAAGTGATTGAAAAAATCAAAGCAAAATCGTTATTCATTGCAGGAAAAGATACAAATGAATGATGGATTTATTACATGCTTAGGTTACCTTTAGCGTGAATGCTGGATGTAATATGTTATGATAATGTTCCATTGTTTGTGTATATGAGATCCATGAATGACTTCAGTGGTTTCCAAGTAGCTGAACATAACCATTTCCAGTCAATGATAGGTGCTATCGAACCATGGAACCCAGTCCTTGCCATGAAAAAGCAGCCCACATCGTTATGGATCCACCACCAGATTGCACAGTGCCTTGTTTACAACTTGGGTCCATGACTTTATGAGGACTGCACCACACTCGAACTCTCCCATCAGTTTTGACCAGCTAAAATTTTGACTCATCTGATCAAGCTGCAGTTTTCTTGTCCTCTAGGATCCAACCAATATGGTCATGCGCCCAGGAGAGTCGCTAGACGTGATAAGCTTTTAGTAAAGGCACTAGAGTTTGCCTTCTACTGCTTCATTTCAATACAGCTAAGTTTCTCTGCATTGATGCTTGTGGTTGTTTCACACAATATTACGTGTCTTTTAACACTGACAATAGCAGTGGCGAATATAAGTTCAAATTTTGGAGGGGGCCCAACATTTAAATTTTTTTTAGTTTAAAAAAAACTTAAGTGTTGGAATTAAACAATCTCGTTATCATTTTCTTATGCTTTCAGTTTATAAACTATGAGTAAACAAAATTGAACGTAACAATTGATTTTATTTGGATTGACGACTGTACATACATATATATATATATTTATATATAAGAAGTTTGTCTTTTTAAGTAAAATTTACAAAACAAAGTTCAGATTTCTTGGTACACTTGCAAACTTATCAAGTACTTCTTCATCGCTTATTTTAACGTCTCTATGGATGGAAAGTAATGCAAATCCATTAAGTCTATTTTCCGAAGTGGTGTTTCTTAAGTAAGACTTCAGTCTTCTTAAACTTGAGAAGCTTCTTTCCACAGTCGCAACAAAAACAGGTAGAACTGCTAGTAATTTTAAAAGAATATAAATGTTAGGGAAGAAAGTCTTGTCACATTTTTCTAAACAACAAATTGCTGTTTTGGGAAGATCTTCAGATTTATCCCGACTCCACTTTTCTCTCCATAACATAAATTCACTTTTCACGATCTCTTTATGGGACAAATCGTCTTCGTAGAAATTGAAAGCAGCTTCCAGAGAACTGAAATCTGTTTTTATACAAAATTNCCCATATATACGCCCCTGGACAATAGTACTCACACGTCAGGGGTTTTGGCCATTAAGTGCAGGCAGTCAGCCACTATGTTGTCCATGGTTGGAGGTTATGCCTGAAATTAGGTATTCTCGGCGCACTCTTGATACTGTAGCTCTAGGCATCTTGAACTCCCTCAGAATTTCCGAAATTAATTGTTCCATATGTCAAGCTTCTCCTGCCTTCCCACGTTCAAATTGTGTTAATTCTCATTTTAGTCATAATTACATCAGAGACATTCTTAGATACTACTTAGAATCACCCTGAATAAATTTTAATCTAATGATCGGATTTTTACATTTTAGGACTCAGTCTTAATGGTTTGAGGAAGTGACCTCAAATTTGCTAATTAATTAGTGCAGTTGATATTTTAAGTTATGAAAATCAGACAAAAGCGTACCTTCTCTAAATAAACATAAATTTTTTTTTTCTTCAAATGATTCAGATTTCTGATCCCCAAAGTATCTGAGATAGTGGCAATCTGGAAAATATTCTATTAGTTTTTTCAGGAGAGCGCTCCAAAGTTTAGACCCCTTAATGTTAATTTTACTTTTTGCTAATTTCTTCGTATCTGAAACTTTTTCAGCAAATTGAAAATTTTTTACATTCAAATGTAAAATTCGTTTATCCAAAGATAATTCTGTGCAAAAAATAACTTTTAGTAAATATTTATTATCTTAAGAATGGTCAAAACAATTTTGAATTGTAAGCTATAAAATTTTTTTTCATCATTTTAAAGATTATATTTTTACATGGCAAAATACATAATTTGAGCGAAATTCATTTAATAATTCCTGAGAAATCAAATTTTGGAAAATTCATATTTTTAAAATTTGATTTCTCAGGAACTATCTGACAGATTTCACTCAAATTTTGTATTTTGCCCTGTAAAATTACATTTCTTAAAATAAGGAAAAAAAATTGTATTTTACAATTTTTAAAACTTTTTCGACCATTCTTAATTAAAATTAAAAATTTTTTTTTAATATTTACTAAAAGTTACTTTTTGCGTGGAATGAATTATATTTGGATAAATGAATTTTATAATTGAGTATAAAAACTTTTCAGTTCGCTTAATTCTTGAGTTATAGCAAAGTAAAATTAACAGTAAGGGGTCCAAACTTTGGAGTGCTCTCTTGACCAAACTATTGTGGGTCATAAATCCAAATCTGTTGGAAAAAAAAGGTATGTTTATTCAGAGAAAGTACTTTTTTGTGTCAGATTTTGTAAGTTAAGATATTGTCTGCACTAACTAATTAGCATATTTGAGCTCACCCTCTCGAGCCATTGAGATTGAGTTAAGAGTGTGAAAATCTGACCATTAGATCAAAATGTATTCATTTTGGTGCTTTTTTTTAAAAAATTTTTTTGTCCATAGTACATATTATATGTATGTATCTTTGTGTAAGGGGTTCTTATAATAATAATAACATATATATGTTACTAATTTAAAGTAACAGAAGCACTGTGTTTGCAGAAAAAAACTATTTTTTTAAATTGAATTTGTAATATTTTTTATTCTAATATTATGGGGGATTTATTTGCTTTTTGTTGTGCAAAAATGCTGGAATTATTTCCTTTTTCACAATTAGTAAATCATCATCACATTTAAAAAAAATACTAATTAAAAATCGTGATACTGTAGCAGTAACTACAGAAAAAAGAGATAAACACCAAAATCATGCGAATCGGATTCCTCGATAAGCGATAACTCAAATGAGTGTTTAGTTTCGAGATTCTGTTGTTGTAATAACTAATATAGTTTTAAAAATATGGGATTATAAAAACTATGTGGAAATCAATAGCAATATTTGCCAAAAAAAAAGAAAGAAAATCATTGTTTTTAACAGTAAGTACTAAAACATGGTGCTTAGCATTTTTAAAAATAGCATAGCTTAAAGGTGCTTATTTTTCATTTTTGTTTTTGAAAAGCCTTTAAAGGTGCTTTTTTCATGGGGTGGTTTTAAAAAGTGCTTTAATTTTCCCCTTTCGAATTTTTTTTTCCTTTTCTACCATGTTGATTTTCGCTGCGTATTATATGCAAAATGGTGGTTTTCACATTGTTTTATTCAACTTTTTCACAATTCATTCAACCACAATCCATTTTGATGTGCCGTCAGTCCGTAAGGTATGATAGCACCAATCATGTTACATGTTTGATGAAATACTTGGAAGTGGCTACTGAGCTGGGTTCGGTTCTTCAGAAACAAAAACCATGAAATAAAAATATCTTTAAAAAGTTCATGATATTAGATTTTTTTTTTATATATATATATAATCTATTTTAAATTCTAGCAGAAGTCTGTCATCTATTTTTTTTCTTTAAATTTTCAAATGAGAATTGAACAATCACAAGCATTTCTTTTCCTTTTGATGTTCAAGAAAGGTATCTTTTGAATATAATTCTGCAGAAAAGAAAAATCTTCCAAAAATTTTTGCTCTAAAGAAAACAAATTTTTTACTTCCCAAAGGAAAAATCTTTCTTTTTTGCAAGAACTCTGTAACATTCTATGACAATGTCACCATGATTCTGCCATGGGGGTGTGTATATATGTATATATATTTATATGTATGTATAAATATTTACATGTATATATATGTATGTGTGTAGATATATGTATATATATACATACATTCATACATGTGTAATCTTTTTCGACTATGTGAGTAACTGAAAGTTTTCTATAAAACAGCAACAATGAAAATTTTAAAAATCGATAATTTAAAATTAACTACTATTACAATCTGCCTTTGCTAACGCCAGAGGTGAAAATCTTTGATAGATCCATGATTTTGCGTTTTTTTTTTTTTTTTTTAATTGTAGCTTTTGTTTTGATTAAAGAGTTAAAGCTTCCAATAATTCAAACTATTTTTTTTTTTTCTGATGCTACAGAAATTGATTCACTTTCCTGAAAACGTTACTTATGTCGTACTCTTTTTATCTTTCTCTTTTAAGATGTTTACCAGTCATTTCATTTTATAATTTCTTTCTCTATTTTTATAATTAATTAATTAATAGTTACTTATCTCTTCTTTAATGTATGCAGCTACCCGTGTAAAAATCTAGCTACTCTACTGAAATTTCTTTCTTTTTTATGTCTCTGCTGTTTTCACCCTATACTGTTTAGTTATATATATATATATTTTTTTTAATTAGGATCAGAAACTTTGAATCTTTTTTACGAATCATATTGATTAGAGAAAAAGCTGATGTTCCTCGATTTTTAGACAATGGCACTACATGGCAGGAATTAACTCCTGAAGAAAAGGTAAATTTTGCTGCTAATCTTTTAAGTACTTAGTACAAAATTAGTTGAGGTAACAAAGACAGTGAAATCGTAGTAGAGCCGAAAATAGTATAAAAGTACAATTTTTATTCAGTAAACCAAAATAAAAAAAGTTATCCCTTGAATAATCTTTGTTTGAATGATTTTCACATTAAAGACCCATCTTCATGGTTCAAAGTATTAATGAAATGCTCAAATGAGACACAATAATAATACTATTTTTCTCTGAACTTTGAAAGACTTGTAATCTTGACTATCAAACTGTGAGAACTGGCAGCAATCTGGAAAATATTGTCCCCAGGGCCATGCTTAGGGGTGGCCTAACTGGGCGCTTGCCCGAAGACGCTGAAAATTCAAGACTGGTTAATAGTCATGTTACAAGTTTTTTTTCCTCCCTTCACTTTCTTGCCACGTTGAGGAAGTTTCTTTAAATCTTCCTAAACTACACTCCTAGTTCTATTTCTTTCCCAGCAGAAAAGGCTATTTATCTTGTAGCCAATTATTGTTGCATATGTGAGTTAATAGATCTTTCCACAGGGGGTTGTAAAGAAGACATTGCTATTGTAGTCTTCTTCTCCTGTTGTTAATTACTGTTAATGACTCAAGAATTTCAGTTCCAAGAAGGACACTGAATACTATCGTAAAAGAACCTTACGGTAGAAAAATAGCCCTTATTGATGCTATTCCAAATTTTGTGATTGCTTTAATAATTTTTCTTGTATCCATTGCTATAGCAGAATGTTATTAAAATTGCATTAAAATTAGCTTATCCCTATTTTTTCTTATCTTTGCTAAACCTTGGATATCTTCTTCTTCCTTAAGTATATAATTCAGACTAGTTATTTTACTTACGTTTAATATGTATCTATTTTTATTTCAGTTAATGCTCTTTCACATCACAAGTGTAATATTTAAAATATGAACATTAATTCAACTTTGATGTCATAGAAATTAATTGTATTAAAAATTTCAATTATTACCCATTTGTGACCCTGTGTCGAGGGCTATGCCTAAGAACTGCTGCGAATAATATCAAGAAAAATAAAAAGCATTGTTCGCGTAGTTTAAAAACATTTTATTTAAAAAAATCATTGATTTAAATCACAGAATCTTTTTTTAAGGTATTAGACTAGTTTCGACATTTTAAAAAAAGAAAAATATTTATATAAAATTTTTGAAGAATAAATTTATTTGTTTTATGTGTAAAAACTTATAAAACTAGCAAATAAAAATTACTATTATTTTAAATCGCAGTTCTTGGATAAAAATACGGTATTCGTTTCCTGCTCGCACCGACCACAGTGGTAGATGGATCATGGGTTAGAGTCCCCTGGCCGTCAGGCTAACCGTGGGAGGTTCTCGTGGTCTTCCTCTCCACGTAACGCTAATGCGGGTTGGTTCCATCAAAAAGTTCCCCACAAAGGCAAATTTCTCCCTATATTTGATCCGGGAGATCCCTTGTCACCTGGATTAGGTTCAAAATTACAAGGCTGCGGAGTTGAACATTAATAGTCGTAAGCCCAAAAATTTGGGGCGGCTGTTCAATGCAGGTAAGAAATTTTTTTTTCCGATCATTAAAATATGCCTTAAAATCAATTGTGTAAATGCTCTTTAGAGTTAGTAGCAAATTTTCCTGTTTCAAATTATATATTCAAAATTGTGACCACAAAGACGCAGTTTCAACCATGGAAGTAAAAAAAAGTTACAGGATGCTATGTTAAGAGAATATGGGAGTTCAGGGGCTGCATTTGGATATTTTGTGATGAATTTACAAATAATTGAGTTGTGAAAAGATGCTTTATTATGATACAAAACAGGGCTCAAGAAACCGCCCGTCCTCGGCGGTCAAAAATTCCCCGTGCAAAAATTTGTCGAATGTGACGTCTGCACGGACGGCCATTTCCCCGTTAATGTTCGTGATACATTTTAAATTTTTGTTATCTTACAAGAGTCTAGTGCCTCACTTTTAAAATGACCCTCTAATCTAGAAATCCGGTTAATTCCTTAGTCAGACCAAATGCACATGCTCACTTCATGTTTTCTCTGTCTGGGACTACTGCAGTGGTTGAAAGGGGCTTTTCAGCAATGAACTTACAAAAAAAAAAAACACATTACGTACTGGTTTTAAACAAGAAGCATTAAACGCAACTATGAGCATCTACCTTAGTGGAAAACCCCTTTCAGATTTTTGTGCTGAAACCTCTGTAAATCATTGGCTTGATTGTGGAACTGGCAAACGTCATATTTGATTTATTTAAAAAACGCAGTACCCTCAGATAAATTGACATTCCCAGATAACTTGACCTTTGTCGTTTAAATTATTTCACAAAAGAAAGAAATTATTTCATAAAAGAAATACTGGGTTACTATTAGTAACCTAGTATTTCTTTTATTACTGTATAATGTAATCCTAGTATTTGTAATCCTAGTAACTACTAATTCACTGCGCAATTTGTATAAATGTTTGTAATAAATAAGAGAAAATTATATTTTTATTTAGAAGCTACGGGTTAGTTTCAAAGGAGGACGGGTACATTGTCGGCCAAGCCGTCCTCGGGGATGGGTAAAATTTCTGAGTTTGAAAACCCATGTTTTCTAGCTGCATTTCAGGTCTCTTTAGAAAAATTCTTTTATACCAATATAATACTGTTGCTTTTGATAAAAAAAAAAACTTCATTAGAATCTTTTTGAAACATTTCAAGTGCTTTTATATCAGAAATCTTGTTCTGAAAACAAATTTAATGTGTGGTTGGTCAGTAACATTTGCAATTGTGAAAAATTCATTGAATTCTTCGCTCTTTAAGAACTAATTTATTTTCAAACAATGAAATTAAATACTCTCCAAATGTTTATATAAACCTTAAAATTGTTTGATGAAAGTTTGGATAGAATATCCAAATTGGATATTTTATCCAATATTGGATATAATTTTAAATGACAAAATACGAAAATCAAATTGGTCAGATAATTTCCAAGTTATCAAATTTAAAATGTTTTATCTTTACATTTTATTTTTAAGAACTAATGGACGGTAATAATTTAAAATTTCTATTTTGTCATTTAAAATCATGTCAATATTTGTGTACCTGCTCAAAATTTTATTAACTGTTATTAATTTAAAAAAAATATAAAATTATGTTTTTGCATGGAATTACTTCGGGATAAAAAAAAATTTATAATTGTGCTCTAAAATATTTTAATGTCCCTAAAAAATTCTTGATAAATGGCAAAATGTGCAAAGAGGGAAATTAATATTAAGGGACACAAATTTCATATATGTTTTTGATTAAATTATTGGGAACATATTTCTCAGACTGATTTATATTTTAATGATTTAAAATCCAAATCTGTCAAAAAGAAGTGTGTTTATTCAAAAGTATGTTTTTGTGCTTGATTCTAACCTTTTGAACCAATAAGTTAATTACGTAAAAATATGATCATTCAGAGTTTTTTTTTTTTTTAACTGCTCTATTAACACAACTCAATCAGACATCAATCAGATTGGAAAAAAATGAATTTAGTTAAAGTTATATCAGTTCATCGGGTCTTAATGTATTTTCGTGATTTATTTTTACTCTAATAATGAAATTAGTATTTTTTTTCTGATAGATAATTTTCTTGGTTCTTCAATACTAATTTGAGCACCATGCAATAATTTTGACTTGTTGAAAAACTTTTTTTATATTATAACCTATCAAACATTTTGAACAAGTAAAAGCAAAACAAAGGAATTTTTCCATTTTAATTAGTTCAATATTAGTGATATTGTATTTCATATCACACAAGTTTCACTCAAACAATCATATTTAAATTATTGTTGGAAATTCTTTGAGTTAATAATGAATTATTCTAAATTCAATTTATAATATGAAATACCTGTAAGAATTCTGGCAATATTGTGCTCTTGAAGAAGATAGTTGTGATGCAAAATGCAACCATACAATAATGAGCTCAGAATAATGCCATTAATTATTAGAATTAAGAAATGTTAATTTTGCAATTTTTTTCTTCCTAAAATCGACAGGAAAATTTGTCCTCCTTAAGTCATTAGTTTGTCCTTAAAATTTTTTCACTCCATTATAGAATTTGTATATAATAAAATTAAATAAACAAATTATAGAGCTGCATAGTGTCTGCTTTAAAAGCATTTAAAAAAAATAAACTTTTTAGATGCAAATTAATATCAGTTTCTGTCCTACAAGATAGAAGATATTGAAAGGGTATAGTATAATCATTTATTCATAAGAAATTGACTGGGATTTTTACAATTGTTTATATAGCGTAGTGTCTATGTTTGAGGAGTGTCCATAAGTTAAGGTTTCACTGCATAAATAGAATTTTTTTAAAAAAGAATTTTGTGCAACTATGTTTATTGATTTATTATACATCTTATTAGAAGAAGAAATTGTTCCTTGTTTTCTAACTTAATAAGTTCGAAAAAGGACAAATGAAAGTTAAATTTTGTTAGTTGTATGAAGTAATATTGGATTACTTTTTAATGTGACATTAATTTAAATATTGTTGAAATGTTGACATTTTAATGAACATTTATACATGCTAAATTTTGTGACAGAAATTTTCGTATCTTTGCCTCTATGACTTTATGAAGAGTAAAAAACTTTATAAAAATGAGAGATAAATTTTTACTTTAAAAAGTGCCTCTTTTCATAGATGTTGAACTTCAGAGACTCAAACTTATAAACAAGTTTATTGGGGGCCTTCCCATAGAATAGCTTTTCTAAACCCTATAGGATTTCTAATCAGCAAATAAACTTAATCATGTGTTTTATGCTCTACCTTTGTGTGCACTAAGCAGAGGATTACTAGCAACAGTTCTCATCCATTTCAGTACATATAGAATGAAAATAGTAATGAAAAGGAAATTACTTTTGTGAGTAATTTTTTAATTATGTTATCCCACATGAGAAATTCAACATTTTTTTCAAGTGACAATTTTTAAATTATTCATATTTTAAGCATTTAATAGCAACGTCTTAGAAAATTTTTATCAAGGTTTTATACCTTTTGTTTTAGTCAACTGCTCATAGTTTGATTCAATGACTGGTAAATTTTAAATGAATTGAGATAATGTCAAATAATATTTTTAAGCATATTATATGCAAAAGTATGCAAAAAAATTTATTTTTCATCTTTCATTGTCATTACCTAGATTTGAAATAAAATGTTTTTGGTATTAACTATTTTTTTATTTTGTTTTTAACTCATTAGCTTGGAACTTTAAAGTGGCTAATTGATCATGTTTGTCAAACAAAGGAAGAAGATATTGCTGATTATGTAGATGAAAACTATTCTGCTGATGATTTAGTAAGTAAACATAAGTATAGTATATATATTTTTCTTTTTATACTTATTTTAGTCTTATGTCACTGTGCATTTCAGATTTAAAAAAAAAAGAAAGTTTTTTTCAATTTACAAGCACAATTGTTTTGTGTGCATTAGGGTGGTTATATATTAATATGGGGAATTTTTTTTTCATTTTATCTTTCTCAGCTTCCTCTTAATAGATGATATTTGGAATAAAAATAATATTGAGAAAGTTTCAGCTCAAAGTAATATTTAGACCATGCCCCTGCAGGGGTAGAAGTCCTCCTATATTTCCTATTTTTCCTATATTTTTACAAAAAGCTAAGAAAGCCTCCTATTTTTCCTTTATTTTCTATATTTTTCAAAATTGGCCTATATTTTTTCCCTCTAATATTTTTTTTTTACTATAGAAGACAATTTTCTAGATTTTTCTTTCCTCAAATAGTCATGATCATTTTGAAATTCACTTGTCCTCAATACTGCTTAATGACAATGGGTAAGTGAACACATAGTGTTCNCTCAAAAAATTTTGCTTATTTTGTTATAAAATTGAATGGTAGAAACATAAATCAGGACTCATTTTATGGATAATACTTTTAACTTCATCTTTTATAATTAAAACTTGTTTATAAAACAGTCTTGAAGATTTAAGTGTTTCGATAATCCTCCCAGTGAATAGATCTTTTAGAAACCTTACCATGTGGATTTAGTACAATAACGAAAGTCAAATGTGATTGATATAAGTAAAATAAACTATTGCAATGTATTCCTAATCCCTTTTTATAAAAAAATAATCTTTTTCATTATCTCCATAAGAAGACAAAGTGCAGTAATAATAGTTTCTGTAGATGAAACTTTTGAGAAAGGGTTACATTAATGTTGATGTCGTCTTGTCTAATTGGGGAATGAAGAATATCTTCTTTCTGTTTAATATCTTAAATAATGTCCAAAAAAAAATTGGAAATCATCCTGAAATGGTGTGAAAAGCATAAAAAATGGAATTTAGAAATTTTAACTTGTTTGCTTAAAGATATTCGTATTAGAATATTAAAAAAATGAAAAATCGAAAAGAATCTAAGTTTACAATATATCTTTTAGTCATCATTTCATATTACATTCATCTAGTTTCAATCAATGAAAGAAGTTAAGAGTTAAACAGTACCGTATGATAAACTCAATTGTTATATTTCTTTAAAATCTCGAATTTAAAATCTCGAAATTCGATTACTTTTTAATTTTATTCTAATGATCATAATGACAACAATGCTCATACAATTCAGTTTTTGTTTAAAAAGAACTTGCTAACTTTTTCAAGATTGATAGATAGATAGACTTAGAGGTTGGGCGACTCCGAGGAGCAAGGCACATCAACCGGATGTCTATTGTACCCAAGCCTTAGATGATGACTAACAAAAAAGCTTTATAAGCTGAAACAAAGTTCAGCAAACACCTGACAGGAATGTCCTGTAGTTCCATTCTTGGACCTTTGCACAAAGTTGTCCTAGATGCTCAAATCTTTGAGTAGAAAAGACCTCACACTCACAAAGAATGTGTCATGAAGTCTCCTCAAGATCACTACCACAAAAAAGGAAATTGGGTGTAAGATCCATTGTGTGGAGATGTCTTCTGAGGGTGTAGTGGCCAGTGAGAAGACCACTGATCTTCCTCAATTGATCAGCACAAATGATCAGATAATTTCATTAAAAAAAAGCCTGCCTCAAAATCAAGGAATGGAATTGAGTAAATTTTTTAATGAAAACATTTATAATTTATAGGGAAATAATTTTTGCCTGCTGGTGTTCTTTTTTCAACGCTATTTTATTCAGAAGCTTCGTTAATATTCATAGTTTTAAAGAGTTGTGTGTATTTTGATTGTTATAAAGGGTTCATAAAATAGATTGTTCCGACAAACGGATGTCCAGCAGTGGGACTTAATACTGTATATAGATTTACTCACTTACCCATTCCAGTATTCTACCATTAGCCTATTGAAAATATAGTTTGTTCTACTAGTATCTTCTGTCTGCCTAATAAAAGAACTCAACTAGCAATTGTCTGGAGCAGCAGTCACTAATTTTTTGATTCTCACTGATCGCTAGAAAATATTTAATCTCATTGCCTACCATCTCCTTTTTTGTTGGAAAGCAATGTTCCCCAACTTATTAAAATGGGTGATGCGAAACAACATAAATAATAAAAAGGTATGAAAATTAGCATATCTGTCCATAGCAGCAGACAGCCCTAGAATCTTAAGGGGGGGGGGGCTAATAAGCTATATTTGCAATTTTATCAGTAATTAACAAAGGCATTTTCTGCAACTTTTTTATATATATTATAAATAGTATAATAACTAAATTTTTTTTTTTTTAATAGCGGGGCATATGTGCTGGTCAAGATGCCTTTAATAATATTTATTGGTATTTGGATGGTAAGTAATCACTGGTAAGCATTATTTAACAATTTTTTTTTCTGAAACCCAAATTAGCCTTTTTCTTTATTCTGAAATTTTTAAAGGAATTATTTCAGGCACGTTAGAGCTTTTACAAGTTAGAAATAAATTGAGAAGTACACTAATTATGGAAAGGATTTGCTTTAAGTCCTTATTTAAGGTATGTTACGAAACTCAAACTTCACTTTTAATTACATTCTGAAATCTCATTGATTCATATAAATAATATATAGTATCTAAAATTTTAATTCAGAAGGCTTATTATTTGATTATATAAATAAACATTACTCTATTACTTTTTTATAGTGATGATTATGGTCAGATAATAGAAATTATAGTTTTTGACAATTTTCTAAATAATCTGTTTATAATAAGTTCTTCATATAACTAACAAGAGTTGTAAAATTTTTTTGTTTGCAACAAAACTATTATAATTTTCTACTCTTTAAGCACTTCTAAGAAAAACAAATAAAAACAAAATTGATTGTAAAAAGCAATAAAATAAAGCAAAGAAATCTCACTTTTACTCTTTCAAAATTATGTTTTTTTATAGCTGTAAGGATTAAAAAATGCAAAATTAAGAAAGAATATTCATCTTAGGGAAAGGAAGAATATTTATCTAAATTGCATAAAAAATACAAATTTTACTGGAAAATGGTTATATTAGTGTAAAATTTCTAAATGACTCAGCGCGACATATACATTAGCTTGTATCGAAGAAACAGGGGAATGACGTACAGAAATGTTTTGCATTTCCCAAATGCACATCAAAAATATTTTTCGTATCTTATGTGATTCCTTAAAAAATTATAATTATTCTCCTAAGCTGTTTTTCTGAAAGTATTTTAATCTAACTTAAGACTGCATTATTAAGTAAGTACATTTTATTAATCAAAATTAAATGGATGTCATATGTACTTTTTCAAAACATTAAATTATGTTTGATGTTTAAAACTATCGAAGAAAAGTAAAAACATAAAGCACATTAAAATAATTATTTGAAAATTGATGTGTAATTGAGCAAAATAAATTAAGAAATGTGAAGCATATCATTTGAATATGTGAAAATTCTAGTTAGATTGACTATGGTGTGGCAAAAAGTTTATTATATCTTCAGATATCTGAGACGAATCCAAAGCAATCTGCTATATACCTAATACTTAATATGAGCAAAACCAGCTCCTATGCTTGGGATTGATTTGGGACTGATCCAAAATGAAGGTTAAATATATAATTAAGTGATTGATTTTGATTTTGATTTTTTAAACATATTTATGAGATTTTACTAAATTTTGCATTTAGAAAAGTACTTTATACTTATTGAACTCATTTATCTCGATGCAGTACTTGATACTTTTAAGTACTAAGTACAAAGCATCAGATACACTAATACAAATTCATCTCTACCACAGTCTTGACATCCACATATGACAAAAATATTTTTCAGCTACATTTTACTGTAAAATAGAATTTATAGATATGAACAAATTTTTCAGAATGTGTTTCAATTATTTCTCTTTTGTCTCACATAAATTTTATTTGGTTATCGAATGTTCTGATTATAATGAATTCATAATTTTTGGTCTATTTGAATTAATTCAGTTTTCATAACATTGATGTTGTGTGCCAAATCAGTCAAGATTGCTGTAAAAATGTCCATGCAAACATAACAATTAAGTTTTTAGGAATTGTTTTTCCAATTCAATTGATTTGTACCAAAATATGATAATTTCGAGGACTCGAGAGAAGATGAAGTTAAATCCTTTATAAAATGGAACTCTTGCCATGACATGTGAAATTCATATTAAAAAAAGTTCTTTTATTGTTGCTTAATATATTTAATAGAATTATAATAGTATTATTTTTATCATATTTGTCAGGATAGTGGGTTGTTGCCAAAACTTTTTTCGTTATATATCCTTATTTTTCCATGCCAAACAATGGTTTTTACTAAAAGTGGAAGTGCAGAGTTTGTAATGATGCAGCCTATGTGTTGATAATCTTAAGTTTGGGTGATATTTTTCATTGGTGTGGCATTAATAATAGTGAAGCCTTTCTACCAGAAATTAATGCTCAAAAAGTCAACTTTTACTGTGGAAAATATTGTACTTAATTTTATTAATCTAATCTGAAAATGTTTAAGTAAAAGCAAGCATAATTACATTATTCAATTTTTTAGATTTGAGATTGTATCGAGAGTTCTCACATAAAAGACAAAGCAAAAAAGACTGGGAGTGTGTGTGTTTGACTCTATCTGATTGGCAATCTTTTATCAAGCAATTTCGAAAAACTTCAAATCTTCAGGAGAAAGAACTATATTCTTACTTGAACTTTGAACTTTTCCCAATTGTTGAGCTTGAACTTCTGGTAATTTTAATTTTTATATGTTTTATTAATGAATCTTTGTATAATATTTTTTTTTTCTGATTACAGTTTTGTTTGAAATTATATTTTTTATATCAGTTATTAACAAAAAAGATCAATCAATGCCTTTAAACCCATGCTTTCAATGCACATTCTATTAGTTTTATTCATTGACATAAGTTAAGTGTTTATTCAAAAGAAAAGTTTTAAAACTAAATAAGTTTGATACAGTGAAAGTATGGTTCATATAAGTTTTTATTCAGCTGAAAACTCACTCATATCTAAAACTAAGGTAGCATAGCATAAACTTCTTTGTTTGTTTGTTAATAAGCCAGCAATGCACATGCATTATAAACATATAAATAATGAATGTATATTTTAAAAATATCAGTAACTACAACTATATCTTTTATTATTATTGCACAAAAGTGATTTCATGGTACGATAAAAGCTCCATGTAGCAAATAAGGCATATTACAAGTAAGCACTATTTTACAAAAATGGGCAAAATGGAAGGTATATTTACTTTGGGCATTAATACAGAAAAGTAAAAAATATTTCACCTTATTTCCTTCTTATAGCCTTAGCCCTTTATTATGAATAAAACATGTTATAAAAAAAACATGGTAACAGGTATTATATGTTTGCTTACTGTAAACATGTTATAATAAACAAATAATTTCGCCAGCTTGTTATTTATAAAACATGCTGGCCAAGTTATCTCCCTCCTTAAAATGAAGAATATTGTTGTTTTTAAGAATCTTGTTGCACACTCTAAAAGAATGTGCCTTTTGTCGAAAACATATCTACTGTGCCAATCTCTCTTCCATTGAGAAAAGTCTTTACTCTCCATTTAATATTTTTCTTGCATCTTTCAACCGCTAAATACGATTGGGCAATGAGTTTTTATCTTGTTTGGGATATAATGGTAGTTCAGATTAAAAATTGCTGAAAAGAATATAGATCTATGGAAAAGAAACTAAAAGTTGAAACAAAACTTCCTTATTTAATTTAAATGAAGGAAATAATAATATATAAAAAATAATAAGTAATATAAAAACTGATATAGCGAAAATATATGGACTTCCTATATCAATATTAATTAGAACTCTGAAGATTAAGGCTGAAATCTAAGAGGCATTTTTCACATAAAATAGTCCTTGGAATTGTAAAATACAGCAAACTGATGTTTATAAAGTATGATGTTTATGATGTAATAATTGTTCAAAAAATATTGCAATAAATTGCCTAATGCTGTTTGTTGCCTGTATTTACTTAGCTCACTGTGACAGCAATTTCATTTGTTATCTTAAATTGTTCTTAAAACTGATTTTAACTGTAGTTTTGTTTTGCAAAATTTCATATTTTGTATGGTTGTTCTAAATTTAAAAAAAATATTTTGAGATACAAGTAATTTTGTATTTGTCATTTTAATTTAACAATTAATGTTGTATTAATACTTATTAAAAATGCTTACTTATTTATGGTGTCTTGGGATATTGGTCCACTTTTAGATGCACCTGGATTTCAGCCCCCACCCCTCTAAGAATTCTTTGATGGATGAGATAATGATATTGGGAGTTAAGGAGGGTTGGTTGACTTAGGGTTGCACACCCCTTCGTTTTGGCATACGAAAGGGACACCCCTTCAGTTTGGTGTCCGTAGGGGTAACGCATATGTATGAGAAATTGCACAATCTAATCACTCCTATATTTCTGAACTGATTCTCTGAGTATTTATTTTTTAAATATTAAAAAATGTGTTAGTATCGAAGTGTTTCCATTATTTTGTCCAACCCCTGTATATATGATTAGACACATACATGCATATAAAAATGTTATTGATGTATATTATTTCAATTATTTTTTCATTTTTATTTAATAAAATCTCTCTCTTAGAGATTACATTATTACACTATTCTTTTCAAATGCTTCTTATCGAGGAGTTTGCTCTGGCAACACACTTCTCTATGTCATTGCAAACAAATTACTTAACTAATTTGTTTACACCTAAATGAATAATTTTTACGTAATTGTAATGAAATTTTTTAATTGCCTTCTTGCAAAATATGTTGCTAGATTTAAGGAAATAAAATACTTGGGAAATATTTATATATGAAATAACAAAATCAGAAAGCTGTAGTGGGTAAAAATGATATAATTTTTTTCCCTTTCTTAAAGCATTTTAAAACATGTAGTGAATTTATTATACTAAAAATTTTTAACACAAATCTAAAATACAAATTTGTTTACTTTTAATTTCATATAAGGTATTAATGAAAAATAATCTATTTATTTAAATGAGTCCTTTTGTTTTAAAATATATCTGAGAATAACAAAATAAAGCGATTGAATTGAATTAAAAGAAAAAGAAAAAAACGGGGGGAATGAAAGAAAGAACTATAGAAAGGAAGATTTGGTACTAAGTCAGGTAAGCGAAGAGCTAGTTTAACGATCGTTCAGAAATAGAAACCTAGGATCCAAGCAGAAATCGGAATTTTTCTGCTACATTTTTCACTCAGGATTAAAAAAAACAATTGGTTTTGTTGAGAATGATTTTGTTAAGGCGATAAAGAATCATGCCTAGTACACACTCAGAGCATTCAGGAGTTTTTCAAAACGATCACTCAGAGACTAATAACAGGCCTTCGATATTCGACGGGTAAGGAAGGGGGGTATGAAATTCACATAGGAAGTAAAATGGACCAATATCCCAAGCAACCTGTACTTATATTACTTATTAATATTACTGTTGAAGATCTTTATAATGCAAATCTTGAAGTGCAAATCTATCCAATATATAGAATTTTATGTTTAAATCATTTCACAGGTCATTAAATGTCACAATATATATTTATGGAATAGATCAATATTTAAATACAGTTGAGAACCAATGCTGGGCACTGGAATGCTGGGTAGCTATCCCAGATGTGTGAATTTCCTGGTTTTCTGAATCTCTTAAAAAAATTGTTTAATACTGCTTAACTGTATTTTTACTTTAATAGTGAATAAAAAATAGCTGTATTTTAGCAGTTTCAGTATTCCAATTAAAAAAATTTTGCTTCACTTTTTTTAACTTTATTATATTTATGTAGTAAAGCATAGCATTGTATTTTTTTTAAATTTTTTTAAAATTTATTTTTATTTTTCGTAATTTCCCTACCACCTTCTATTTGCTGATATTTCCTCCTTGTAACAAAATAAAAAATCATTTGTTTCATCTGATTTCATTTACGAGATACGAATTTTGATTTTTAAAAAAAAGGAAAAAAACAGGCAAAATTTAAACATTCTAGCCTTGGATCAATCTGGCAGCGACTGATTTGAAGATAATTTCTTTCTCTACTTTGTAGAGTCGCTCTTTCCCTGTCATTGCTTCATTCCATTTGGCTTTCAGGCATTGAGAATTAGACGGACAGCAGCAGTTTTTTTTCTACCGGAAGGAGCTGTTTTTCAGCATTCAGTTAGCAAATTTGACTCTATATATGTTATTCATTTTAAGTGACGTCACAAGATTTTAAGCATAAGCTCTTGGAGCGTCTTGTTAAATTGTGCTTTAACTTTTTTTTTTTTTTTAAAAAGAAGAAAAAAAATTTTAAATAATATTTTAGGAAATGGAAATCGAAACTTTTAATACTTATTTCATCACAAGAAACAACAATTTGCTTTCAGAAAGTTCTTTTAATTGAGATTTTGAATTCATTTAATTTTATCTAAGTCTGCTCCTTTTTTATGTTTGATTGAACAGGGATAAAAAGAGTCTTCCAGACCCTTTGAAAAAGAATCTTCCTCTGAGTCTTTGTTTTCCAAAATGTTCTTACATTGATTAAATGATTTCACTTCAATTATACACAGATTATTTACGCATTTTTAATATTTTTTGTAACAACTTCATACTTACAAACAATTTACTTTTTCAATTTTTGTTGTTGTTTATATTGCTTGGTAAATTCACGTAGTCTTATTTTCATTTTCAGTCCTTTGTTTATCGTGCTCTGACAATGTGATATTACTAATCAAAACTGGCATAATTTAAATTACCTGATTTTTTTTAAATAAAAATAATTTCTAAATGCTTTCCTAGAATCAAGATTTTATCTAATTTACATTTTTATTAAATATAGATTTTTTTTTAAAATCCTAGAATTTTACAAAAATCTACCAGGCAAAGTCTGGGAAAAAATTTCTTCTTTTAGAGTATAAACCCTTAAAAAGTACTGAATAACTGGCTAAAGTTTATGCGTAATATTAAAAGATGTCATTTGAAAAATTTTAAATTTTTAACATTAAATGTACTGTAAATAATATTTGTACTTTATCGCCCTAAAAATTCTATATAATCAGATTTATAATTCTGTTTAAACTGACATAGCATGTTTTTTTTCTCCAAAATTTGTTGATTATTTGGGAAATGTAAATAAATATTTGCACTAATTTTATGTAGGCACGACATAGCAACCTCACATTATAATGTTCGTTTTCATTTTAACAACAGGGGTCGTTATATCAAATGTCAACTGTATATTACATGAGTAGTGAATATTTAACATAATAAACATCAATATATACAAAATTAGAATTAGCAGCTGTTAACTTTGTTTCTATCTTTTGAGAAATCAATAATGAATTTTAAGGCATTTGGTAAGACATCCAACATTAATTGTATCTATCCCAAATTTTCTTCCAGCATTATATGAAATCAATTTTTTTTATTGTATTTGTTAAGTCATAATTTTTATTTTTGTTCCATGCATTTGAACATATGGTGTTTTTGGGGATGTTGGTTTATCATCTATTTAGTTTTTAATCATAGAATAATCTTAACTATCTATTTTGTTTCTAATTTCTTTTACAGTTAAAATTTGATTATGTAACACACTCAGTTAATTGATGTCAGGGTTCCTACACGGTCAGTAAAACCTGCAAAAGTCAGGATATTCTAAAATTTAGCTAAAAAGTCAGGATTTTTCTTACATATTTATTAAGTCAGAAAAAAGTCAGGATTTTTCTTATGTATTCATCAAGTTAGGAAAATAAAAAAAACTGTAGTTCAAAGACTGACAGGCAAAAATAAAGGTTCAAGATAAAATTCTGTAATTCAAAATATGTAATTTCCTCATAATAACATTCCTCTTTACCTGGTAGAACCTGTCCTGTTAGCAATTTTCCTCCTGTTTATCCAATGATAGGGAATTTTTGATAAGGTTGCTAGGTTTATTGCTCTTTGTGTGAATAACTAGTTTACAGACAACAGTAGCTGAAACAACAGCAGAAAAAGCAAAAAAAAAGGAATTTTTACTGTTTTGTGATGCTGTCAAAAAGAAAAAAAGAAGAGCAAAAGAGTTTCTTAGAGTTTAATCCACAGCAAAAGAGATTACATAATTTTTTTTCGAAATATTTGCACGGAGAAAAAAAAAGTGAAAATTTGTGGGAGATTATAAAAAATTGTTCTTATCCTCTCTCATGGTAACGCAACATTTAAAGGGGGGTTTTCAATCAATAAAAGCTTATTGGTTGAAAACCTCGTTGAAGACTCTATTATTTCACAAAGGCGTGTGTATGATTATGCTTAATTTATAAATGGAATAAAAAACATAGACATTAATGAAAAAATGCTAGATGCTGTAAAAGGATCTAGAACAAGATGGAGACATGCATTAGAAGCTAAAAAAAAGAGAAACGAAGAGAATAAAAAAGCTGAAATTTCTAGAAAATTAATAAAAGAAAAGAATTTGAAATTAAGAAAATCTAAATTGACGATAACTGCTGCAACAGAACTGGATGTTCTTGATTCAGAAATTGTCAAACAACAAAACATGTTGAGAAATATTATATAATATAGGAGCCCCTGAGTTTCTCTGGAAGCTTACAGTATTACAGAAATAAATTTAAAAATACTGAAAAAAAAATGTTTTTGATTTTAATTTTCTCACAAGTTGCATAATTTTTCTATCTGAATTTTTATTTGTATATAATTAACTTTTCTTGACTTTTTTTCCTTTTATATTTCAATATTATCTTTTTTAAAAAAAAAGTCAGTTTGAAGTGAATTGGTGATTTTTAAAAATTAATAACTTAATGTAACAAATGTTCTCGTATGTTTTAAGAGTAAATATTATTTGAAGATACTGATACGTATCTCGCAGATTTGATTAACCCTTTATATCCTGACGACACTCATGCATTTGGTTCCACTTAACATTAAATAAAATAATATTTCCATAATCCAACAGATTTTCTTGATCTTTTTATTTAAATAGTTTTCGTATCTAACTACAAAAACACACTAAAAGTTTAATCTAATCATGATAATTAAAAATATGTTTCACAAGTTTTCTGAAAATATAATTTGGGATATAAAGTGCTATTACGCAATTCCACTTTAATATATAAGTGTTTATCCTATTCAATCTATGATACTTATGACTAAGTAGCATATTATTACTAATTGAAACTGCAATGTTAAAAGTTTTGTTGGAGTGGGAAACGGC